TATATAGCTAAAATTAATATTTAAAATTTTATTTTAAAAATTAAATTTTTAAAAAAATTTCAGGGCAAATTTGTAGGAGAAACGGTTTAAGGGATAGAAAGATAAAAGTTCTAAAGAAACCTTCATAAGAATTTTAAGAAAGATTCTTTTCAATCGTTTTTTAGTCTGTAAAAGAAAATAAGTAAGAGCGCAAAGTTTGCCTTGAAATAAAAGTAACTCAGTAGAGTTAAACTCATTAGAGTACTATAAAAAATTTTATACAGACCTTGGTCGTTATTTAGCGATTTGCAGCATGTTATCATGAAAAAGCCGTTGTGGCTTATATCGGTAATGGCATAAGGTGAATTAGTTTGTATTAAAGGTATCATAATTTCTAGCATGAATTTTATGAAAAATTCTGTTACAAACTTAACTGACAGATAATACGTTTTAAGGTTGAGTTTGTATCAAAATTATTGTAGCTTCTATCAAGAATTACTGTAAAAATTCTCATGCAATATTTGCTATTCCATTAATAATAATATGGGCTGCCGTCAATAGGAATAAGGCAGATCGATATCTTAAAAATCCAATACCTTTACTTTCACAGCTCACATCTCATTGAATATTGAAGCTATCTTGATGATTTAATATTCAAAAGAAAGCCTACAATATAAGCTTTCTTATAAATATTAAATCAAGATATCTTCAATATTTAATGAGATATGCGCTGTGAAAGTAAAGGTACAGTATGATTTTTTTTAAGATATCGATCTGCCTTATTCCTATTGACGGCAGCCCAGAGATTGAATTAGTTCTCGTTAAAATTATTATAGTTTCTATCATGAGTTACTGTTATAAAGCTTACCATTCTGGTGAGACACAGTATGTAACTCATTAATGCATGTAATTAACGTTATCCATATCTCAGTTAATTTCAAAGATACAAATGTGCGCATAACGAACGGAAGCCTATTTTCTAAATTTCTAAAATACAAAGTGCTTGTAATGATTTAATGTCGATTTTACTTAAGGATGCTTTTTTTTATGCTTTTTCTTTCGCTTAAATAAGATTAGCTAATTGCCGCAAATAGAGCAAACCGGAGCAGATTCAGAAAATTTGAACTTAAGTGCATCAGTTTTGCATCATATATAATAATAATTAATAATCAGTTGCATCAGATTTGCATCATAGATTGTGATCTACATGCGGGCTAATGCAAAAATCTTAACTTCTTCCAAAAACGAATAAATGAAAATCATTACTCCTACCAAAAAAAGATTTTGCGAAAATCAGCATAGTGGACATCAAAAAAATTGAACGTTTCCATCCCTCCACATTTCATGTTGCACATTCCATGATATCGTACTGGTATACATCAGTGTCAAATGACGTAGTACAGTACGGGGATAGGGTCGCCGAACATGCCGGACTTACATAGCGTTGCCAAAAAAAAATGGTAGCCGGATTTTTTACTGGCTTGCATATGACTTTGGATACTGATTGTCGGTAAAATTATGTATCATACAATGATGATGATTATCACTGACGTAGTTTTATTGTATTGTATT